AAAACTTTTTCAACGAGCCTTTGAGAAAAGTTTTATCATGGTTTGAAAATCTTGTATCAGTCTTGTCTTAGTACAAACAAGTATTTAATGTTTCCTCTGATTCATGGATTAAACTTAAGTTGAATATATCTAGTTTGCCTCGAGTACAAATAATAAACTCATTGCCCCTTTCCATATTAAATTTTTCTTGCATGCGTCTTGAATTCTTCATTCCTTGGGTTGAATTTGTTAAAACCTTTTCCACATTATTAAATTTTTGCTATGAAACACAAAATATTTACTTTTTGCAGGATTCTAAATTAGAAGAAGAAAAACTTTCGTCATCAATGGTTAAAAATACAACCGCTTCATTTAATATACCCTTTATACCTTCCAATTCTGTGATAGAAGATGAAACTGCTGAAAGTATTTTAGATCAACATTGTAGTCGGATATGGGCAAGTTCCAGTCATCATACGCCCAGTGGACATTCACCGCCAAATAAATCTCCAATGTTGGCTCGCAAGAGATTAAATCAATCTTTACCTGCCCCGAACAGTGGTTCTAGTGCTCTTCATTCTCGTAGCTTTACGCATCAACATCGGAAAAGAGACTTTGTGTCCTCTCAATCTTGTGATAGTGGTGTAGGTGAGGAAAAGTTGGGCAAAGAAACACATAAACATATTCATCATCATCATCATCACCATCATCAAGCTCGGACTTCTAAAAATAAAATGGAGAGAGAGGCCCAACATGTGAGTATGTCATGTTGGACTGATGTGATAGGACAAGGTAATCGTAGTGCAGTGAATAAAAAGAAGACTAATAAAGGTGTTAAATCATCAGATAGTAGTAGTTATATCGATAGTGGAATAAGTACTGTTTATGATAAGGAATCATTACCTCCAATGCCTAATTTAATGGATCCTACCAGTTCCAAGTAAGTTCCAATTTTCTTATTTTGATACATGCATGTTTGCGATAAAAGTGAATCAGCATATTATACTGTGCTATATAAGATTGCTTGCATCAGTATTACAAGATAATTTTCAGCACTCAGTAGAATAGAACAGTATGAAATAATCAATATCAATACAGATATTGCTAAGTATTACAAATTGTATTAGATACCTACTACAGACGTATTGTACAGGTTACAAACAAAATGATATTTAGTCTATATCCATATTGGAAGATTTGAAAACCATTTTGTATTTCTAACATGTATCTCTGCCTGTATAGAATCAGGCAAACTTTGTATTTATAGCTACATGACAATGTGTATCAATGTATTGATACACATATTTCAAGTATGAATTTATACAAGTATTACAACACTAAATTGTTACAGCATGTATATCAATGCTAGATTGATACAGCAGGTATTAGAAAACTATCATGTTGAAGGTCACTCAATTCATGAATATTTTTCATTGCTGGTTTTGGGAAAGGATCTGGGTAAATCATTAATATGCTAAATTAAGAAAATAATTTCTAGTATACATAGAGCAAATAAATTGCTTGGAGATCTGTTGAGTAAAAAAAAAGATTTTCTTCTATAACATATAGAATAACTTCATAATTCACAGTTTTATTAATGGATAAAGTAAATTTTACATACATAATTCTCTAAAAATTGCTAGGTTCAAACCCCAATATAATATTATAATTTCAAGATAAGACAAATTGTTTCAAGTGAAGCTTACATAGGATACTTTTGACATAATTTAAGTAACATATTTCATTTCACCACACAGAAATAAAGTTTAAGTAATGTCTTTACCATGGATTTAAAACAGTCTTATATACAATTGTCTCTTTTTATCTCTATTTCCATTTCAAAAAGAATTTATCAATCTTTAAAACAAACAAAAAATCTCTTTGTCTCAAATTCCCCAAGGTTTAAATATCCTCACAGGCTTTTTCTCTTGAGACCATTAATATTTTATTTCCTTTTCAACTTTCTAAAAAAACTAAATGCTATCAATTGCCTGAGTTTGTGTTTGATGTTATGAGGAAAACCTATTGATAGAATAGAAGTTAACCTAGCTCTAACCCTTTGTGTACATTGAATCCCTTTATAAAGTGTAGTCAAAGAAAGAATTAATTACAGCTAGCCATGCAGTAAATAATATCAAATTACAAGTACACTGAGATTGAGAAAAACTTTACCAATTGACTGAGTACAAGTTAAAAGACTTCTATTTTGATAGAATCTAGCAAAATATCCTTCCTTCACTTCAAAGCTGACTGCATGCTATGATTTGGTGTAGGTAAAGCCTCCTAGATTAAGAGTGGAAAGAGAAAATTAACTCTATGCCATAAAGAAAAGAGAAAAAACAGTATTGACAGTAATTGGGGAATAATTGAATCAGAAAATTAACCAGGGAATTGATTATTGTCCTCTTTTAATCATCAAAGCTCCTTTGAGAGAGAAAAATATCAAAAGCTGTATTAAAACATTACTGACTCTTTGTACAAGTATTTTCATCTTACTTGACTTCAATACTGAAAAAATCCTCACTAAGTTACCTAAGAATCTTGTGCTTTTGAGATGGAGGCTTTTTGAGATTCTACATATGGCAGACACAAAGTAACCTAAAGCGAGATCAAAGAAGTGAGGTCGTCTAGCAAGATGGTTGCCGTCTGTGAGTAGAGAATAATGGCAAACTTCAAAGATTCTAGTCTGAGAATGCCAGTAGGCCAAATAAAGTACAGCTGTGTGCTCATGGGTCGTTAAAAGCTAAACATCTAAAGGCTTTGTACTGATCCCTTAAGAGATGAACACTACAGAAAAGACTATTAGATATCTTTCTTTATTTTTCTCAACTGATAAAAAATATCTGGTTTTTAAAACATTTCTCTTGAAGAATTTGAGATCATAGTGAGTTGGTAAATTAATTTCAACTTTGAAAATTGTTTACTGGTACTTATTTGAAAGATATTTATCTGAATATTATATATATAGAAATAGCTGATGTCTGGTAGGAAAGCTCGTTAAATTAGCTATTAAATTCTAATGTATGGAGTGAAATGAAATATTGACAATAAACGCAGAGAAGTGTTAACTCATTTCTGTTACTATAAGACAATAGAAAGATTGAATTGATAATATATTAGAATGATTTGGACTAGATTGTAACATATGGTACTAGTGATTTTAAACTGATAGTGTTTTCACTTTATATACTGATACATATCTACATTTAATTTCTAATTTATGAATTCATATGCAATAATAATTATAATTTGATATCTTTGTTATCAAGCTATCTCTTTCATCATGATCTCACTTTCCAACACTTACTTTATTAGTCACATTTTCCAATTTAGTATAAAAATATGATCTTTATGGAAAATTGTTGATTCAGAACTATTAATTAACAATGTTGAATATATGTAAGTTTTTATTTGGACTAGAATGATAACATATAACTTCTCTTACACATATGAGTATTTCTGAACTCTTCCATTTACATAGCATAGATGTAGACTGTTTGTGGAGGAAAGAGGGAATTTGTAATAACAATGGGTCAAAATGAATAAATATAGTAATGGGACCTCCTGAAGTAAATATTTTGTCCTTTAGTAGAGGTAATTTCTCAACTGATTCTGTAGGTGTTCCAATTATCCTTGTTCTGCTCCTAAACCTGTCTAATGAAGAAGATTCATTTTCTATATGATGAAAATAATCTATTTAATACATTTAGATCATTCTGATTTTTACAAATTTAATTAACCATGATTGTTGTTGTATTTTCAGGGTGTTAACTTGGATGTTGGAGAGTGACCGTGTCACTGAGCCGAATGCCAGCTACCAAGATCCAGATAAGAGTTCCAGAACTCGTGGATCTCATGCAGCTAGACTTAACCATTCAGCCAGTGCCTCCCTTCCTTCTCATAAACAAAGGTTAGGGCGATCAAATACTTTATTTTTTATTCCATTTAAAGTATTCATATTCAGTTACTAGGCCATGTTTAATCATTGGAGGTATTATTGATACTCTGGCCTAAAATAACCTATCTTTTATAATTGATGTTATTGTTTTCTTGAATAGTTATGCAATGTCATTTTCTTTTTTGAACAGTTCGAAAAAAGTTTGTGGAAATAGTGGAACACATACTAATAGTAGGTCAACATCAGTGGAAAGAAGTGGAAACATTTTACAATCTTGGGTTGCACCAAGTCAAGTTTTACCAAATCAACCATTTGCCCAGGATTCTATGATGCCTTTACCACCTCAACCCAACACTCGTACTCAGCTAGAAGAGGCTAAACGAAGGTTGGAAGATTATCCTGCTGGCTCACCCATCAAATCAAAGTAAGTCTTAATTCAAGATAAATTTCAGATGACAGAAGCCACTTCTGTGTTGCAAAGAGCTATGGTTTTATAGAATTCTATAAGCTAAGATTCTGTTATTAGTGGATAAGCCAAATATGTGGATGTGAACCTCACTTTAAAGAGAAGTTATGGAAAACTGTTTCACTGAATAATGGATTATTTCTGATTTTTTATGTGTTTCTTTTATCTTCCAGATCTTTTGCTGGAGTACCAAAAGGTCACATTGTGCCGTCTGGTGCATCCAATACTAGAACTATGCCTTCTGCTAAAACTGTACCTTCTGAACTAGATAGATCTGGTGGAACCCAAACATTAGAGTAAGTATTACAAATCATAATCAGAGTTTTGTGGTTGAAGGGAGATAAATCTTGATGATTCATGTTTGTCCTACATATCTTTCTTTCCAGAAATTAATGTTGTTTTCCAAAATCCCCAAAAAACATTTAGGCCCATATTCCTGAAGGCTGACTGAATCAACCGCAAGCTAAGATCAATGTCTAAATGCATCTGGCCTACTATAAACTGACAATTGGAAGTTATCTAAATCAAGCTAAATGGAATATAAAGTTGACTTGTGTTGTATTCAAATCTCAAACTAATTTCATCCTCTTCTTTCATTTCAGTCGATCAGTGTTATCAAACAAATCAAATAGTGCCAACATCTCTACCTCAAACTCTAATACTACTGTAGTTGGGATATATTTCGGTGCCGAACCCATACCATATCGTCATACTTTACCAGGTCGTAATATCACCCTCGGCCAGTTCAAAACTCTTATTACCAAGAAAGGAACATTCAAGTAAGTATTATTACAAGAGACATCTATCTTTTTGGAGCCTGATGAATTTAGGAGAAATAGACTTTATCTGGTGGACATACTGCATTAGTCTTAAATTTAAGATATAAGTGGTTGTATCACAGACCTTCAATAGTGACTGCATATGAAGATTTCTAAAAGTGATTATATATGTGAGTTGAAAGGGGATATGATTGCAATCAATCTGAAGGGATTCAATGCCCAGTGTACTTCTAGCCTCCGTAATCTTTAATTCAATTATCTTTATGCTACATACAGATTTTATTTAGTAAATTTAGACTTCGTAATATTGATGTCTAATTTTATTTTCAGATATTTCTTCAAACGAGATAGTGATGAATTTGGAGAAGGAGCCGTATTTGAACAAATTAGTGATGATAGTGTTGTTCTACCAATGTGGGAGAACAAAATAGTTGCCAAGGTGGACAAAATTGAATAAATAGCAGTTATTGTGGCAAAATTGTAACTTAAAAAAAAAATTGTGATCACATCATTGAAATAGGCAGCATTCTTTACTTTCTTTCGTCCAATATACAAAAGAATGTCAATGCAGTATTTTGATGATGTCATTGTGTATGGCAATACCCATCAATCATCAGTAGTAACCCAGCGAGCAGAAGTGAAGCAAAATTTAGAGTTGTGCACAAATAAAACCAAATAAGGACATGATATTTTGACTGTCATGGTGTTGTGATTGTGAAGAAAACCTTATCAAAGATGTCTATTATATAGAAAACGGTATATAATATATATTTTGTATATGACAAATGGCCAAAGCCATGGCATGGCTAGTCAAGCCAGAATATTTGTTTGTATGTAAAGACATGTAAATAGTTGTATGTTATCTTAATTTTATTGACTCAGGGGAAGGCTTATTAAACAGTTTCTTGCATACATATTTTATCTGATTGCTAATTTTGATTTAAAAGAAAAACATTGGAATTGTGTTTGGATTTCATGATTCTTCACAAATGAGTCATGAATGTTAATATCTGAAAAATTTCAATAGTTTTTGTAGCTAGATGAAAATTATCAGTTAGATAATATATGTATGTAATTTATCAGTGTTTTATGTGGTGTATGTAGATGTGTATTTTAAACTTTAAAATATGGTCAAACTTATGTCTATGACGGGTTTTAATAGTACAGGGTACAAAATAACAATCAAAACTTCAGGAGATAGCTGATCGATGTTAAAAACTTTCAATTATCTTAAATTTAATTTAAACCAAAAAATTCAACCCAAAATCAAATGGAGTAATTTTTATACATAGATAATAAAATTAGTGGAATGAAAAGTGCTTTGATTAATTTATTTTAACATCTTTTATTATTTTTTTTAAAAGAAAATCAAATATTGTTATTATTTATTTTATGAATTATATGATGTCTGTAAGGGAAAAATATTGCGTCATAAACCAGTATTAGGGTTACATTTTAGATATTTGTGCCTTTTCTTGAAGTCATTTCTGTGATAATCTTGCTATTAATTTTAATGGGTTTTGGAAATATCAAACTTCAATAAAACTGATACTAGATATGGCACCACTTTTAGAACCACTAAATTAGATTTTAATGTATGAAACAACAAGAGCTAAAACAATAAGATACCAAAGTAATAATAAATTTATATATAAAGGATTAAGTCTTGTAAATATAAGAATATTATATATATTTACAGAATATATTGTGACATTGTTTTTAACATAAACTCAAATTGACACATTGTATATTGTACCCTTTTTACCTATATAATGTCTACAATAAGACAATAGGTAATATATAAATAAAGTTTGTATATCATAATTACATTATTTTGATTTATTTAAAATTGATGGCTTGTAAAAGAAACAAGTTCAGAAAGCCTTGATCTCTTATGGATATGCTGTGTTGACTGGAAAGCCAACTTATTCAAGATCACTTTCAAACACAGACCAAGTTTGGAACCCTAACCACCTCCACCAGGTTAAACATAAGCAAATGACCTGTGTCCAACCTGTTATGCCTCAGAACACCCAATTTATATTTCCTAAATAGACTCTTCATATAGATGTATTCTTCCAAATGAACCTGTGCGTACATGATACCCCCAGACCACAGTGATGTCTTATTTTTTTTAAATAGTTACATGAAAATTCAAAAATAAATTTTCAGTTGCATACCTTTTGTCTTTGATCATTAGAAATATAAGGTTTGATCATTTCACCTTAATAACACACTTCCTCCCAGCATTTTTCCTTCTGTTTCGTTATCCTTTTCCATGTAAGATTTTTTCGATTCTCATTTTATCAATCAAAAGTAGGACTCTATTCAATTTAGGTTTAATATTTTTAAAAAAATGATTGGCAAATGTGATTTCATAAACATTTGGTTTGGTGAGATTATACCATAAATACAACAATTCACTAAAATGTCTTGGCCTTGACTGGTTCAATCTAAGTTAATCTAAAAATGTTCTGAATCCGGTTTATTGGGAAATTACAAAGTAATCCAAGGGAAATAAGTACACTTAAACTCAAAAATTTACTAAAGCATCAGATAGAATAGATGCTACATAATCAGTTCCATTTACATTTATTGGACAAATTCTCTGGATCATGCATCATTTATTCAATCACAAAATTTCCATATAGCAATATGGTTTAGTATTAAGGACTGATGAACAACATAAAAAGCCAGTCCATATGATAGTCACTTGTGTATTTCCATCCTAAAAGAAATCCACACAAAAGTGTCCCAGACATTAAAGGGACATGTTAACATTCCTCATTTGACCATACACATCCTAGTAATTCAATTTTGTTGATCACATCACAGAAACTGAATGAAACCATGATGTATATTGTTCTTCAATTGTGTTCAAAAAACTTTAAACCCAGCCATCGAAAGAATAAACATAAACTAAAAACAATGATGGTACTTGGTACTAACATCAGGTAATAATAAACCATGTTTCAGTCAGGCCAGGGATCTGGAAATATATAGATATAAAGTTTATTGCATACTATTATGATAACACGATTTTCTAGAAAAATATATGTTTGATCTCAAAATTTCAGCCATATACAGTTTGCTTTAAATTATCTTTTATGTCCCACAGATGTCCAGACAACAATGTTGTGATTGCATACTAGCAGGTATTAGCAATCATTTTTGTATAAATTGAAATATCAACTTCAAAATTTTTAGCATTGGCGTTGATGTAAAAGCTAAACTTGAGACTGAGTTAAGATTTATCAATATCAAATTTCCATATTATCCTCTTGGATTATGGCTATATGCACTGCCCATACACCCCCAGGCCCTCTACTGTACTCCTACTTCCAGCAGGCAGGTGCTTCCCCTAGCTCTATACCTTTGTATGCAGAGTAATGGAAATATAGTTTTTTACGATTGGGTTATTCATGCTACACAGCAAAAATCATAATCATCCTTTATTTAGAAAACGAAAGTAGACAACTGTTATTACATGTACCAAATATTTCTATTTGCTTATAATAAGACACAAATACGTATTCCATAGTAAATCTACAAACATATCTAAATCCATGTTGAAAGAACAACTCTTAAAAATACATGTTACACTTACCAAAGTGATTAATTTATTTGTGGGCCAGTGAAACTTTACTTGGGTTGGCCTTGTTAAATGAAGAAAAAATGTGAAGCCGAAGTCTTGGAAAACTAAAAATGCAAACCTTTGTTTTTTTCTTCAATACTTTGCCAACCATCGAGTATCGAGTTAATTATTTTTAAAAAATCATACTAGGACTACATAGAAATAGGATTTAGAATTTAGAAGCAGACAATATTAATCGAACGAATAAATTAAACTGCGTTTCGTCTTAAATGTACAAATCCTAAATTTGTTTCAAGGGAGGTAATTGTAATGAGCATGCTGGTAAACAAAAATTATAGTTTATGTAATGGAATTGGTTGTTGTTATGAAATGAATTGGTGAAGCCAAGTAAATGCCAAATGGATAAAATATCTAGTAAAATTGTGTATACTGCTTTGAAGAGAATTCGACCATTATGGGTCAACGTGGCAAAATTAACTGCACAGTATATTAAAAAGCCGGATGTCATTCCCATTGAGAGAAAATTGAGAAGAATGGATGATTCATTGATATTGCAAAAAAAGAAGATTTTGTATAAAGATGACAATTTTCTTGCTATTGACAAAAGTTTTGATGTCAAAATGGCATCTGATTCATTAGAAGATGTTGTTACTGTAGACAAACAGCTGCGTGCAAGTTTTCCGGAATTATGTGATAATAGTGTATTTTATGGATTTAGGTTTGTTCATCTTGCCTTCTTGATCTTAGACTGGAGTAGTCTATGTAGTTTTCAAGTTTGGATGGGATTTAAATTAATCATATCTAACAGTTAATCCTTGCTGTGGAATATGACTTAGATGTTTAGAATGTTATATTGTGGCGGTTCAGAACTATAAGCTTACATGATTAGTGGAGTCGAGTCAAAAGGTTTATGCACATCTGAAAACATTTCTATATACACACACCATTTCAATTTTTCCTGTCTAAAATTGATAGATTAATAGTTTGTTAAAAATATACTGTAGTGTTGTTCTTTAATACAGTATGTTTATTTTTTGACTTTTCTGGTCTATTTCAGGTTTCAGCAAAGGCTTGATAATGCAACAAGTGGTGTTGTTTTGATTAGTTTGAATAAATCTTCAGCAGCAAAGTTTGCTAAAAGCCTTAAAAAAAGAAATGTCCTGAAACATTATTTAGCTCTTGTAAGTAAAATTGCACTCCAATTCCCAAACATATGCTAAAATTAATGGATTTTAACCTTCTTACATGACTTCATGGCTAATATCATAATACATAATGGTAGATGATAATGTTGCAATCTGGGGTGCTATTGAGGCAGGTCACACTCATCCATCTGGGTATTTTAACACAGTATCCCTTCTGGACAGTTTACATATCTAATATTGTTTATTTGGTATATTCATTACACACCACCCACGAGCAAGTGCCCCTGCTGGGGGACTTAGTTATCCCTGAGGTAACTGAGATCTTGAGTCAAAGTCAGAGAACTTAATTGATTTGAACTTCATATTTCCAGGTACATGGCCATGTTGAGCCCACTCAGTTTATGATAAATGTACCATTGTGTAGACACATTAGAGAAGAAAATGAACCTCACAAAATGAAAGTTGCTGAAGATGAACTAGATGAAAACTCCAAAGATTGCCAAACTTTTGGTGTTAAATTAGAAACTGGAACTTATAATGGTTCTCCTGCCACTAAATTACTACTTGTTCTGTTTACTGGTAAGAAACAGTTTGTGATTTCAATGCTGCTGAGCAAATATCTTCATCAAGGGTCAAGGTTAACATTGGCTGTGGTACAGTTCAAAAGGGCTGACTATATTATGCATTGATTGAAAGGGGTTGAAAGTGGAATTTTACTTACGATTAGGAGGATTCAAATTCATGGCACCTAGCAGATGATAATTCAAATTGCTGCTGACGCATAAGAAAGTGTTCCAAGCATCATTAGAGGGAAGTTATGCCGCTTACACTGTACAGAAGTTGATAACTCTTGTATATAATCAAGAAAGGCGATAGGGCTTTAAAGCCAAGATAAGGATGGGTTTAAAGCTTTCATAGTAGATTGGAAATGGATATAGTGAAGATGATTTGATGCTAACTGTGCTCTCAAGTTTTTTTTAATCACCCTGCAAACTCTATGTTGAACCTTGTTTTTCAGGTAGAACACATCAGTTACGAGTACATTGTAAGCATATAGATCATCTAATAGTCGGTGATTATACATATAGCAATAGACAAGATACAGAACCATATAGAATGATGCTTCACTCTTATAGACTACGTATACCGATATCACAAACACAAACTCTAGACATCAAAACTGATAATGATCCATTTCTATCACATTTTGATCCAAACTGGCAAGTTGATCAAATTCATATGAATTATATTGATTGTGTGAAGAAGTTTTATGATAATGAATACAAGTTTGTGATACCAGATGAAAATGAAGTAAAATATTATAATGCTGTTGATTCCTGATGAAGTTTGTTATTAGATTGTAACATTACTTTTATAGATGTTGGTTTTTGTATGTTAGCTATCATGTTATTGTATAATTGAGTATATATGTGATAGATTTGAATGTGGCAGACTTTATACTATGAAATAAATTTATATCTTACTTCACATCAAGAAAACTATTTGATAAACTTCATTATTTTTTAATTACAAAAATATTTACATAACTCATGTTTTTTCAAGCTCTTCAATCTCTTCAATCTGACTATGATATAAAAATGCGTGCTCAAATTATTTAAAATATTTTGAAGTAACAAATCAAATAGTGAATGAATTAAACATTGTGTTGTATTGATTATTAATGGAACTTATTGTACCATCTAAGAGAAATAAAACCACAAATAAAACGGTAGAATTTTAATGTTTTTTTGGTTACTAAATGTTACGCTTCAAACAGGAGGGCAGTACAGTTGACATAGGTCCAGACTTAAGTCAATCAAAGCTCAAAATGTTTGATAGTTATAAGATCTGTCAGCCCTTTGCCAGGAGAGCAAATAAGCTACATGTAAATACCTACTAAGCGTATGATGAAAACGCATTCAACAATGTTCACAGTATCAATGTAGGCTATGCGACGTGTTGTTCGGTAGTTAAAAGCTTTTTTTTCTATCTTCACTACTTTTTAGTACCGAACAATTTAAAAATTGTCGCATATTATAATAGATTTTTTGCTTTTGATGGTGTCACAAAACACAGAATCAATTCATACTTGTAAATGTTATACTCTAATTTATAGGCCATCAGTCTTCTGCCAAAGCTAACGGCCTAGGTTAGCAGCCTCGTTATCGAAAGCAACCAAATTACTATAAATATAAATTCAAATCCATGCTACGAATAAGACTCACAGAGTGTCATGAAAAGTAATCAAACGGTATAAGTAATGAAAATAGCAGAATATATATTTAATAATTTTTCTGATTAACACCCTAAACAACAGCGTGTGTAGCGAAATACATTGTGGAACAATGTAGGTCAGTCGCTGTCAGCCAGGCTATTTGTGGGTCATGTGTATTATAACCTTCACCCTGGATATTAACTGCGGGACTATATGTGATGTAGTCTCGAATATGAGGCGTTCCGTTGTCAATGAAAATATAAACTATGTAATAATCGAGGCTATCCGTGACGAAATTCCATCAAATCATTGTCCAATCAGATATCGCACACTTGAGCCTACGTCACTCATCCGAGTTATTTTTAGCCAGGCCTCCATTTTTCTTCTATGAATACGATATACTTTGTTGTACAATTTGCCTACTATGTTGCACATTTCCAGGTAATTATCATGTCATTTATGTAAACCCACAATAGTATTTCTATTATTATGTCTACACTAAAGATTAAAAACCCTCTCAACAAACTCACTTAGAAGCATGAATGCATGTCGCCGATATGTTTGCTTCGACCATATTTCGAGGCTGTTCGGTTCATCATGAAACGTTGGTGATCTATAATTTGTCAAAGGTTTCTGTTTTATTTCCTTCATGACATATTGCAGAATTGAAAGAGACAGCTTAAATAATTAATTTCTATGATTTTTAGACATACCCTAGGGAATACTACAGACTGAAACATGTTCCTTTTAATGTTATTGGATATTTCAATTCACATTTAGCGCATATGAAGACAACAAACATGTGGTCACGTGACTTGTGTGTAAACTAACTGGCATTGACTTTTTACTGTTAAATATTAAGATGTATAATGGCATAAATCAAATAAATTAAAATTCTTTTTGACATTTAATGCTGTTTATTCAATAAAATAAGCTTACTTAGTAAAATAGTGATAGTGAAGTATAAGGTGTTTGCAAAGTTGATATGCCACAACAAGGCAGGTAAAGCAATAGCCCAGGAAGGAATTCAATTATTAGCATTCAATTGAAGAAACTTTGGATATACTGCATATTTTGTTTAAAAAGCAACACGAAGAACTTGTTTATGATTGTAATTGGCGATTTTTATTTGTAAACTGTATTGAGTGTATATTTGATTTTTCTCACCAATTAAATGATCGGCACTTGTAGAAAATCTTAGCCAGAATTCTTGATATTTTTTCTCCAGTGAATAAACAAGGCCTCGTGGGAATATCTTAGCCGCAAACAGTGATTAAATATGATAGCTAGATGAAAAATGTCAACAATGCTGTAAAATATGACGTACTGACTTGTGACAGAGACCTTACTCAAAATATCTGTCTCTTTTTTATTTCAGATGAAGTACGGTATAAAAATTTAAATTATCTTGTATAAGAGAAAACCTTTTGTCTAAAAGGTAATGTATGTTTATTTTCTGTTATTATCAAGTCAAATGCTTTGTTCCTCTAATATCGATAATCTAATTGGAATTTGCAATATTTATGATATTTATAACAATAACTGGATTAAGCGAACTGGTATGATCTCAAATGTCTTGGCATTCATGACTTATGTCTTGTAGCCTACTTGTAACCATATATACATACAAAGCATGTATATACAACAAGGATTGAATTTTGAATTCTTATTCTGAGAATTGTATTGAATAATGATGGCAATATCAAAATTGTAAAGATTACCAGAAATTTGATTAGTCAATTTTCTTACTATAAGATCTCTTGAATTTATTGATATATTGGCTAATGATTTACATGGTTGTAATGATGTAACACCTTATAAATGGGTTTAGTGATTATTATTGGATTATTGTGTCATTTATATTTTATAGGTTGTAAAATACCAAAAATCAAAATGGACACGCCTCATCTATCCAAGGAGGATGAAAATCAGCTGCAAGATGATATGACACTTGTGGATGGCAATTCCTCAGGTGGAGAAGATCAAACTGATAATATTCAAGATGATGTTGATTTAAATACACTTACAACAACTGAAAATATTGAAAGCAATAATGACAAATCGGAAGATATATCTTTGAGTGGACTGAATGCTATGTCTAATATTTCTGAAGATGGTTTATGGGAATCAGACAACTTATTCAAAGACCTACCATATGAAGAAAAGAATCTTGGTGATAAAGGAAATATATCACCAATTAAAGAAGCTTTAGCAGCCGGTGAAAAGCCTTTAAATGAAACCCCAGTGTCATCATCAGAAGCAATACCAATTCCTTCACTTAGTCCACAATTACCAGTTGCTGACAATTCACATTCCCTTTTACCTAAGATAACTATAAAAGGAGTGTGCTCTAAACCATCACTATCTGCCACACCCATTGTGTTAAATGCTGTTAGTTCCAGTGACAGTTCATATGTTGTAAATCAAGACAATCAGGCAAGTCCAATAATTCTTAAAGCATCTGAAGCCAGATCATTGCTAGAAGCTAATAACAACAAACCAGCTCAAACAGCTCCACAACTGGTCTATGTCAAGCCACCACCGGGTGCAAAAATAATCAACCCAAATCAAACACAACCACATAACAACCAATTTAAGTCTGTCATTTTACCAGCTAATAGCATTCCAGGTCAAACCAAGCAACTGGTGTTGCAACAGTCAGGAAACAGTCCTCCAATTCTTATACCAGTGAATTCTGTCATTCAATCTGGAAGTAATGTAATTCCAGTAACACAGACGAACAATGGTACAATTCTTGTTCCTTCCACTACCAATAAAAACATTCTTGTGCCTGTAACAGCTTCATCATCATATAAGGCTACCACACCTTCAGTTGGAACGAAGATAGTTTATTCTGGATTACCATCTTCACAATCAAATACAATCCTTTTTCCAGCTAATCAGTCAGTCACATCAAATACAATCATGATACCACAAACCCACAAAAAGATTTTACCAACTTTAATACCGAATCAGAAGATAATATTACCAAATGGTTCTGCCAACAATCCATACATTATTGTACCTACATCCGGAACTGGTTATAAACCTGGTGACAAAATTCTTGTGAAAACAACAACTAAAACTCTAACACAAAAAGCTCCTCCTAAAATTGTACCCAAGATATCGCCAGCATTTAATCCAAAACCTGGACAGCTTGTTCTTCAGACTGCTGATGGTCAAAAGCTTCTTCTACAACCAATCGAGGGTTCGAAAGCTTCTGATGCAATTCCTGCTCCACAAAAACTGGTTTTTCATCAAGGCAGGGTTGATCCAGCTTCTGTTCCTAAGACTACCTTTCTTCCTGTCAAGCAATCCCCATCTCCAGTTGTAGCTTACACAACAGCATCTATTCCTAAAGCAACAGACTCTAATACCACAATCACAGGTGGAGAGCTAAAGACCTCTGGTATTAGAAAAGATATGCTGACCAGTATACCAACCAGTATAGGCTCTTCCCTGGCTGGTGAAAAACAGCACATGAGATTAAAGATAAATGTTGAGAATAGTAAGGGGGAAGTGAAAGAAACAATTGAAAAGGATGTTGAGTTAGATACAGAATCTCTAGTGAAGAAAAAGTCTGTTTTAGTTGATATTCTTACCAATCAGAAAGAAACAGAAAACAAAAATAAAGAGGTTGATGATGATATTGCTGTATTTGAAATAAGAAAGGGTTCTCAAGACTTGATTGATAAGCATAAAATATTAAGCAAAAAAACTATTGACAACAACAACCTGAAAATTCCAAGCAGTACCGGCATAGGAGGAATGTCATATTTTAAAAAGTCCGTATCGAAAGATTCTGGTGAAGTTTCGTGTTTTGTTCCCCTGGATGTTTGTGGTTCTGAAACACTAGATCATCTTATTTCTCTAGCTCAGAATCCTCCATCTTCTTCTGCTGAACCAGAAACATGTGTAAGTCACAGAGTCAGTTCACCACAACCACAACCACAAGTTAGTGTAAAAACTTTATTAAAAAATGCCTTACAGCGATTTCCATCCAAACAAATTAATGCCAATAATTGTAATAGAAGAAAACAGGATTTAACTAATAGAAATGCAGATATGGATTTGGCAATCATCAAACCAAATGTTGTGAAACCCAAGCCTAAGAAACGTGCATCATCAATGAAAAGACCTGCTGCTAGAAGACGTTCTACAGTAGAGCAGGATGAAGTGATATCATCAATTACTGATTTTGATTTAGTACATCTTCAACGAGAGTTTGAATCTAATGAAGAAATTGATGTTGTAAATTCCCCACCTAGAAATGACAGTGAAATGGATTTTGAAATTAAACGAGAACCATTAAGTCCTGAAGTAGATAATTCTGTTTCGTTTGGTAATGATGATTATACTATTAGAATTAAAAGAGAGAGAGATGATGATGATCAATACATGGCTAGTACTAGTACAAACATTAAAACTGAGCCTAATGATGAGCCTACTAGTTATGGAGAATCAGGCATTCTTTCATCAGAAGACCTTGTGAGAAGAAGTTTTAGAATCTACAATAATCCTACACACAAAAGTGTTCACATAGAGCCAGACTCAAGTAGATCTAAGAGCAACACCTTTATTCCATTAACAAATTTTCTCAGCGATTCTCCTGCAGTTAAACTTGAAAATGTAGAAGACTTTGATGCTTATGCACCATTTGATTATAGTAATGTGCCAGGACCTATTAGTGTCAGTCTCAAGAAGGGTAAAAAGAAAATACGAGCCTTAATGGGATTGAAAGATTTATATATTCGTGATTGTCCCGATTTCCGTATCATAGAAAGCAGATTTGCTATAAATTGTAAGCGTAATGTGTATTCGTGTAATCAGTGTGAAGGTGAATACTGTACTATTAACATTAAATCTCTCTCAGATCATTTAATTATGCATCAAAAATTTCCAAAAATCCATCAGTTAGTATCTGAAAGACCTTATGAAGTATCAGCTTTATCAGGTAAGTGCGTTTGACTTTTACTCACATACTTACATACACATGTACAGAAGATGTCTGGACAATCAATATAAATTCACTTGATATAGCTATTATTTATGACAGTAAAACAATTAGCATTTTCATTTGTGATGAATGTAGTAACATTTCACCATGTTAATGACTTCTAATTAACATTTCAGGTAACGAGGTAGCAGATATGGTTGCGGGATCTGAACGTACTATTGATGGATATGATCTTAATCAATATCTTAAGCAGTCCGCAAATAAATTTGTAAATAATGACAAGAAATATGTATGTGATTTATGTCCATATAACGGAAAGAATACAGCAGCTATGCAGTCTCATTTAAACGTTCACAGAATGGCATCTCGGGTTGCCTGTAATGTCTGTAATATTGTGTATAGGAATAGAAAAGTAGTAGAAATACATCAAGCCAATGAACATGGAATAACACCGCCAGATGGAGGATTTACCTCAAATGACATATATTTGAAGCCATTTCTACCACCTAGTTCTAGCAAAAAACAGAGTACAAGCTCTGCGGAAAGTTTAGTTTATGTGTCTGCTAGACCTTTATAGCGAAGAAAAAACCCAGTTATTATATATAGTGCTAATTAAAAGGACAAGGATTTAAAATCTTTAGGATCTGTTTTCTCACGAGAAGGAAGGAAGTGTCAAACTAAGACATAATAAACATATTTTTTTATTATGAAGAAGCCAGTTAAGATTAAAAATTCACTTTGGTAATGTGTTTAACTTTAATGTCTTGTGACTATCTTGAATGTACAATTTACAATGTATCAACATGATTGTGGGTATAACATTGATTTGGTTTTCTTTAAACATACATTTTTCAAGATTCATGATAAAGAATATCATCCTTGATGGAAAAGATTTATACACAACAAACTTTTTATGAACTTTATTTTATTTTTTTCCATTATAGTATTTTTTCATTCTACAGCCCTTTTATACACATATATATTTTGTACTGTATAATTTTGTTTGTTATATTGAAATTAAACATTGAATAATGTTGAATTTGGGCTTGGGAGAAAAACAGAGCACACATGGGTGATCCTTTACCATCATAAATGCTATCGTTATCCTTAAAATTGCAAGTTATCAAGGAATATTTAAATGTTGATATTTTATTCCCCCCCTCAAAAAAGAACATCAGTTAATACACAAATTCAATGGCTATAATAACTATTCATAATAGCATAATTTTTATTCATGTGGCCATAAGACAATTTCAAATATAACAAATGAGAATGTCAAAAACTTGATGACAGTAAAATGTATAAGTTTAAAGCTCAACTTTCAAACCTAAAAATCAATACACATCTTCTCGTATAAATTAATGAATGCTACATAATGTACAGAGATTAACTAATTTATTTAGGAATACCAGTATGATAGGGATTATGAATGGGCTGATTATTTTGGATGAATCTGGTATCCACTATCTGTGGTGCACCGCTGTTCTGTGAACCAGGCTGAAACAAATTATTCTGATTTGGTCCACTTATGAAATTGTTCTGATTTTGTGAATATGTAAATCTATTGATTTGACCACCAGTGTTCGGCAAATTATTCATGAATAAATTAGGATTCCCCTGGTTTGATGGATTTCCATTACCAAATGGCATCCTATTCATGTGTGGTAGGTTCTGATAGTGAAAATTATGTTGCGGATTAAAATATCTTTGATTCATGGAAGGTTGTTGCCAGGGATGTCCTTGTCCTTGCTGAGATTGATGCCAAGGAGCAGATGGAGGAGGCTGTCTGAAATTCATTTGATTTGATGGTGGTGTAAACCTGGGACAAGGTCCTCTAGGTGGCCAACAGTTCCACATATCTTGGTTGTTGTTAGCGGGTGGGAAAGAATCAGGTGCTGGACGATCTCTATCATTTTGGTGTTTTTTCTGTCTTCTCCCTGAAATTACATAAAGTTGTATTATACCAGAATCCAAAACTGTAATCATTTGCCAAATCAGTAGCAGAAATGCCATTCATTAATAGAAATGAGATAAATGTGCCATGTCTGTTTAGACAATACTATTTTTTTCCCAATAGACTTGTTGAAACAAAACAAAAACATCAAATAAATGCTGTTAAACCTCTGAAGACAAATATTACTAATATATGAACACACTTCTTTGTGGTTTAGATGACCTTTGACCCATTGCACCTGGTAACGCATCCAAATATCTGAAATAAATAAATAAATGCATAATAGAAGAAATCAAAAGAATATATTTCACAATCAAGTGTAGAAATTGAGTAATTTGACAAACAAATCTAGTTCAAATTTTCAAGTTCTGAAAAGAATCCTTTTTTTTCTTTTTTGAAAATTCTAAGAAATGTTCTGAAAAAAATGCTCTAAATCGAATTTTGAACAAAATTCTGAAAAAAGTTCTACTTACGATTCTTCATCTTCTTCTTTTATTTCCTTTTCTCCTTTCCTTTTAGATTTAGATCTCCTTTCACTCTCATCATCAGAATAATCTAAACACTAAAATTTAAAAATAACTTTTCATTAAAAAGAAATGAACACAACTTCATTTAATCTTAATAAATTCAGCCATTGATCCCATTCTTTATAACTAATCAAAAGAATGGAATTTGAACACACACAGGAGAAAATTATTTATATTAATTGCTTATTTGCTAAAACTGTGAGCGTGTGATGAAAAAATTTTTTTATATCAACATCCCATGCAAAGTGGATCTGGTAAACCTTACCCTCTCTGGTGGTTCATTATTATCTTTCCATGATGCATCTGATCCCTTTATTCTACAAACGAAAATAGTCATAAATTACACTTGAACCTTGAAGTATGTGGAGAACACCAAAGAATTGAAATACACATTCACATCTTGAGAAATTCAGAAAATCAAATTGTCCAAAATCTAGATTTTGGATTGAGTACACACAATACACTTAATATGTGTACTAAATAAGTGCCCTGTTTCACGAATACATAAACACAGACTCTGTAATTTACAGAGAGCAATTTCAAAAACTTATGGTTCTTTTTCTTTCTTTTGTTCAATTCAAATAAAAGTTCACTTACTGTCTCAATTGATCTAGAAATATATACTGTGTTATATCTTCTAAATTAGGTGCACAATATACTTTATCACCGATATTAATCTTCTTATTCTTGATATCTTCAATAGTGTTAAATCTGATAGAATAGAATGGTTTGGATACTGGACCAAAGGTCTCAAATACCTAATAATAAAAATATTAAAATTATTATAACACATACCTGGATATATCATCATGATATCTTTTAAACATAACACTTCACATTTTACAAAATATTTTGTCCACTCACATATCTAAAGTTTATTTAAAACATGAGCGGCTACAACATTTTCAGGAACAGTTACACACTGTTGCAGGTTGTGGAGAACTAATTTTTTTTCTTCTCTAATTCATGAAGTCAAAATTGTTGAAATGTATAATTATTGTTATATTAGACTATAAACAACAGCAAAGACAAACTATTTAAGTAAATAGTTGCAGTAAAATGCTACAATATAATAGAGAACCATAACAGAAATACAAAATTATTTTACCTGTCCAAACACCTTTCTATCTTCATAGAAAAAGACAGAATCTTCGTTTAAAGCTGGTGTGTCTGGTAAACTTTGAATAACAACTGAAATATAAAGCAGAACTGTTTTATAACTAAGCATTAGGTAGGAATATCAGTGGATTGTTAAGAAATGAGTTCTGCAACACTAATAATTCATGCCAGTGCTAGATACGCAAGAATTACAGTGATATAACAGTTATCTTTATACAGCTGTCAAAATTAAAAATTGATCTTTACTTCTACTCAGCAGATATATTGGGTATGAAAATAAACAAATAAAGACAGTACCCAAAGTATTCACTATTCCAGAGACTTGACCAATCAGTAATAACTTTTCATCTTTAGCTAGATTTATCTTCAATTCGTCAAGAGGTGGCAGGTCCTACAATAAAAATCAAAAGTTGTGTATCAGATGCTGGCTTTGAAAACAATAAAGCCACAAGTTATATGAAAGGCAAAAATAAGACTATTTCCAAATGCATTTGAGTTTCATTGCAAGCCTGGACCAATGATCAAAGAAAAACATGAAAAATTGAAAAGGTCACGCTCATCTGTACTTGAAGCAATTCAAATCCTGACTCACCTCTGGAAGCAATTCTCCTTTTGTTCTTGGCACCTCTTTTGGAGTAAAACCTTTACTCAAAACTCCACTTTCACTATAAAATACATGAACATTAATAGACATAAGAATCACTCGATTTGAAGAACAAAATTAGTTTTCCACACAATGATTTAAAGATAAAGAACATACAGAGGGGTAGATATAAACTGAAACAAAATTTTTAATGAGAATAATTTATAGCTCAAAATTGAATTGGAAAATTTATTGCTCAAACTGGAATTAGACAAATTTATAGCTCAAATTAGAATGGTGCAAATCGATCCTGTCAGTGTCCCCAATACACATACTGACTAGTTGGTACATAATAAGATTCAAAAAACTTTTTGCATTATCTTTAATGTCTTCACCTAAATTTCAATGAAACAAAACAGACTTTGATTTAAACCTCAGGTTAACATCCAAAGTTCTGATAATTCTATAAAAATATCTTACTCATCAGAAGGTACTACAGGAGCATCACTAAATACTACTGAGGAATCATCTCCACTATCATTTTCAGTCCCACTATCATGATCATCTTTCTCAGTCTTGATCTGACGGTATGACATTAGGTTCTCCGTTTTTAAAATTTCAACACCATCCCTTGACATTATTGGCTGCTCATCATAGTCTATGGGTTCTACTTTTATTACAACATCACTCATCACCTGGTTTGTTTTGGTAATTTTACTGTCATCTGTATCTATTGTCTGAACATCTGCAGCCATTTCTGTCTTGATCACAGTCTCCAAAGAAGTGTCCATCTTTGTATCATCATTGCAAAGAACATCTCTTTCTGTAGTGTCTTTTTCTTTGATCTTTTTAATATCATCCTGTCCTGTAGACTGTTCTGATACTGAAGCTGATTCTTCATTTTTAAGACTGCTTTCAGACTCAGTTTTATTTCCACTGGCATCTGAATTGATTGATTCGTGTTTAACGTCAAGAGCACCAGACTCTACTGTGGTTTGGTTTTCTGCTGATACATTTGCTTCATCTACAGTGGCAGAATCTAATGCAGCTCCACTGACCACTGGAGTCTTATTTTCAATATTTGGCTGTGATTTATCAGAGGCAGTTTCTTCTTCATTAACATTTATCAAATCAACCTTTATCTCTTTCTCCTCACATGTCGATGACATGGTTATGACACTGTCAGCAACTGATCTACCAATCTACCAGGTACAGTAACTACAAAAATGACAAAATAAGACATGAAAATATTAAAATTTTACAAAATTGATTAGTTTAGAATATGCCAATGGCTATGAAAACTTTGCTAGAAAAATATTGAGTCCACCCATACTGTTTTACTCGTTAAGATGTTTAAAATCTTTTTTGCCCCAGACACCAAATATATCAATGTTCCAAAGGACTTACAAATCTTACGTTCGTCGAATAATCTTCGATTAATAACAGACTTTGTTTATAAACACACGTGGTTCTATTTTCATTTTCTTCAACTGGGTCACCGGCCTTGACCTTTGAATGATGAACAGGAAGTGAATTGTGTAAGAGTCTTTTGCTAATTTCGGAGCCGCATTTTAGTATTTGCATTTCAAAATACACATGGAGTTTCTTAATCATCTGAATTAATATGCCCATTAACCAAAACTCGATTCTGCCTCTGCTTAGAGCTTGAGTTGCCAAATTACTGCATACTTTAGTACGCATGTCATGCCGTGCCATTTTTATTCTGGGTTTATTTCCGGGTTATTTATTCACATGTTGTTTTAGAAGGTCGTGTTGTCAGTTTCGTCAGCTTTCATGATGGATCCAAATAACAAGAAATCAAGTTTCTTTGCTCCCTATTCCTCTAAAGATCCGAGCATGGAAGTACCAGGTATATCTTTTTTTTTTACAACACTTAGACAAGTGTTTTTTTTTTATACTTGCTTGGTTAACAAAAGCCCATTAACTAAAATTACATAAATACTAGTAACTTCAGTAACTAGTGGTGACACTGAAGTCGTGAAGACACCACGATCCACCAAGTTTGGCACAAACAAGACACAAGCGTGTTACTGCCCCACCACAAATGGAACAGTACGAAAACAGAATCTTATATAGGCCTAATCGAAAAATCAACTAAAAATCAGGCTAATACTATGGTGATCAGTGAGACTGAGACTATCTTTTCTTTGGGTTGATGAAAATTAGGCTATCATCTACGGTTAAAACAAATTAGGCCTCTCAAAGACCTAGTTCAACTAGGGCGGTGTCAACTGTACGTTTGGGAATATATAATTTACAGTCGGTTGTACTCTATAGTCAACTTAGCACCTAACCATTAAAGGCCGAAATGTTCGGTCAAAATAGAGGCAGAGTCTGCAGAAGAGACTTTTTAGAAATCTGTGTTTTTTCACATGGAATTTCTGGAAGGGAGGTAGGTTAATGTGTCAAACCTTATCATATCTAGGCTCTAGATACTGTACAGAATAATGTTGTGGCCTGAAACATTGATATATAATTATATCTTATAATTTTTTTTGCAGTGTCAGCCAACCAGACTGGGGGATTAGTGTCGCCATATTTAAATTTTAATCCAGCCTATATAGGACAGGTATGTTAAGGTATCTCTAGCCCTGAAAAATGAAATGAATGGAGTTTTACATCCTACTTTTCTGCACCATGTGACTAGCCCTGAATGTGGTGCAAATGGTCAAGGAAGAGAAAATAGTAAGCTGATGGCACTGTATTGTTGCTTCACATTAGTCATATTCGCTCAATCTTACTTAAGAGTTCTAAGAATATCTGTTATCTCCAGGAGTAGTAGCCTAATAACACTATCATAAAAAATATTTGTCCTTCGAGGAATTTAATATTTTCATTCTCCATCCTTTAGGGTTCCGATTATATATTACCTGAAGGTTCCAAACCTAATCGTGGTCGCCTGGAAATGGCATTTACAAAAATAGGAGCTTCAATCTTGTTTGGTAAATATACCTTTCTTCATTATTCGATTGAACCATAAGTAATGAAGTAATTTTTAGTGTTAATTAAAAAATTTAATACTACTGTGCTTGTGATATTTCAGTTGAGAACATTTCAGTTACAGCTGTCTTGTCTAAGATTATAATTATGATATTTCAGTTGAGAACATTTCAGTTAAAGCTGTCTTATCTAAGATTATAATTATGATATTTCAGTTGAGAACATTTCAGTTAAAGCTGTCTTATCTAAGATTATAATTATGCTTGTGATATTTCAGTTGAGAACCTTTCGGTTACAGCTGTCTTGTCTATGATTATGATATTTCAGTTGAGAACCTTTCGGTTACAGCTGTCTTGTCTAAGATTATAATTATGATATTTCAGTTGAGATCATTTCAGTTACAGCTGTCTTATCTAAGATCATAATTATGCTTGTGATATTTCAGTTGAGAACATTTCGGTTACAGCTGTCTTGTCTAAGATTAAAATTATGCTTGTGATATTTCAGTTACAGCTGTCTTGTCTAAGATTATAATTATGATATTTCAGTTGAGAACCTTTCGGTTACAGCTGTCTTGTCTAAGATTATAATTATGCTTGTGATATTGCAGTTGAGATCATTTCAGTTACAGCTGTCTTGTCTAAGATTATAATTATGCTTGTGATATTTCAGTTGAGAATCTTTCGGTTACAGCTGTCTTGTCTAAGATTATAATTATGATATTTCAGTTGAGATCATTTCAGTTACAGCTGTCTTATCTAAGATCATAATTATGCTTGTGATATTTCAGTTGAGAACATTTCGGTTACAGCTGTCTTGTCTAAGATTAAAATTATGCTTGTGATATTTCAGTTACAGCTGTCTTGTCTAAGATTATAATTATGATATTTCAGTTGAGAACCTTTCGGTTACAGCTGTCTTGTCTAAGATTATAATTATGCTTGTGATATTGCAGTTGAGATCATTTCAGTTACAGCTGTCTTGTCTAAGATTATAATTATGCTTGTGATATTTCAGTTGAGAATCTTTCGGTTACAGCTGTCTTGTCTAAGATTATAAGTATGCTCGTGATATTTCAGCTGAGAACCTTTCGGTTACAGCTGTCTTGTCTAAGATTATAATTATGCTTGTGATATTTCAGTTGAGAACAGCTGGCGTGTATATTATGTTATTGTTATGCTTGTGATATTTCAGTTACAGCTGGCTTGTATATTATGTTATATGCTTGTGTTATCATTCCATAAGGGAACATTTCAGTAACAGTCCGCTTGATTCTAAGGTTATTTTTTAAGGTGCTGGTGTTGGAGGGCTCATGGGAGCAACATCTGGTTTAAAAGAAATTCAGTCATCAGGCTTTACTGTTGGTAAAGGAGATCAGTAAGTAGATTTGATAGTTACCACAAATAGAGTAATGTCTGCAGTTTAGATCCAGTATAATTCTTTCTGTCTGTAGCTCTTGAAAACCTATGAAATGGGAATTTTTGCATCTTATATTATCTATTGTCCTGAACAATGACATTTGATCTTTTATATCAGGTTTATTATTCATTGTTTAAGGCCATTTAATTTAGCTGTCAAGGAAATTATTTTATTTTTGAAGAGTTAATATAACATAAGATATAATTTTTTCAGAGTATTTAACCTTGTTAAAAAACGTGGAGGAGCATTTGCACAGATGACTGGTGTTATAGGTATGTATTTGAGGTCTAAAATCCTTTACAAATGTGCTAGAATGAAAATTTACATGTTTTAAATGTCATAATTCTCAAAAAGAACCAATTAGACAGTATACAATCAATTTATCATGATAATGTATCCTTTCCCTCGTCTTTATGACTGGGTCATATTGCTTATCTTAGGTAGTGTGAACACATTGATTTTTATTTCATTTCAGTGTTAACATACAGTTTTTTTGGGATAATTTTTTCATACGCCCTTGATACGAATAATGAAGTAAATGATTTATTATCAGGAACTGTAACGGGTATATTATATACAAGTCCAGGTAATATTTATTTTAATTCTCCTTGATCTTTGTTTCTAACTCATACTTCTTTGAAACTTGAAAAATTGAACAAAGTAAATACTCTTCTAGAAACCTAAGCCAATTGATGCCATATCAATATATTTTTTTTTCAACTATAACTACATAAATTGTAATACACAATAATATCTTATGTATTTTAGGTGGTGTAAAGAAAATGGTTAAAGGAGGTGTAACAGGTCTAGCTATTAGTTCACTATTTTGTTTATTTCAAAATAAAGATAGAATTAAAAGTATGTTATCAAGATAAACTGGTACCAGTGTCAATTAGTAATATCATCTGTTCATTATTACAACAATCATCAGAAGGAAAGTTTTAACAAGTGACATTTTGCCTTCAAAGTATACTGTCAACATTTAAAAGTTAACATTGGAAATGTGATTGAAACTGTTATATGTACATGTCTATAATCAAAGTTAGTTTACTAGAATAATTCAAGAGACAGTGTAATGTGAATTGAAGTGGAAAAACTTTCATGAAACCTACCTTTCCAAGGGAGACAACTGATGAAACTTGACAGAATATGGAATTTTTGTCAGAATTTTTATTGTGGCATATATATGTACAATACTTAGATAGGATATTGAATCAAACTTTTTTTTATGTCCATGTAACAATGGAAAGGATCTTTATCAGTGACTGATTTTCGGTCATTAGTGTTCTAGACAACTTTTCCCAATTGCCTTGGTTCTAAATTTTTTGTGAAATTGATCGTGTAATGGGGATGTTGGCTTATTATTGAATCATTGAAGATAGAACACATTCTTTCCAACATAACATAAAAGAGAAGATTTGTGGTCTTACTTTCTCTTTGTTGGGAAACTGTTAAATGTAATTATGTTAATAAATGTTTTAGATTTTTTTTTAATGACGTCTTTGTTATTTTTCATTGGAATTGAAACCTTATTTTGATGTTATGGCAAAAAGTTAAACAGTTTCACTACTTGCCTTATAACTAGTTTCAACATCAGTAAAATAATATCACTTTTTTAAACAATTAGGTTTTTTGGTAATTATTTACAGTGCTCCTTAACTTTTGGAGTATAAGTGTATTACACGATTTACTCTTTACACTGTTTCTCTCATTTATAAACTTAATTAATTTTATTCATGTATAAAATAATCTCCAAACAAATTGTATAGCAAAATCAATTACAGAACATCAAAATTAAAGAATATGTATGTAACACCGTGAATACAATAGCAAAATATTTTCACTGTTAAAATAGTGCTCAATACATCAATTGAAGAGCGATATTGAAATATTAAAACAGAAAATGAAATATATTGTTACTCAGAGATTCACGCTGTGAGATGATTTGCTTGGTCTGAAAGATTCACCATATATCTCACTAACTGATTCAGCATATTTTGGTGTAGTTTTTATGAAAACATTTTCAGGAATCAGTATTTGAATGACAAAAAAAATAATATTGTGTCTCAGATGATGAAGTTTGGTTGATGCATATTTAACATGGCTTCCAATACATATAGGCTATTCACTTACAGCCATTAGTTATAATTTAAATCACAGCATCATAAATTACAATAACTGATATATATCAAAATAAAAACTTAACCAACAATAGCATGAATCAACAGTTATTTCACCTTATATCCTGTTTTTTAGGTCGAAAATACACATATCTAGTTAACATGGACACTACACTAGGCATTTGTTTAGTTCTATCAGAAAACTCTTTATCTGTACACGATTCAAACTCATAAGCCACAATTCTATTGACATGAGTTAACATATGTAATAGTTCCATTTTAAAACCATAATTTTCTAATACAATACACAAGGCTTGTATAAACCAGGAACCTTCTTGGTTATTCCTCCATGAATAATAACCTGTAATAAATGAAAATAATGTCATTTTTTCTCGAGACAAAGTCTAGAACACTATTAGCCAGACAATGATATTTTTGCATATCTTGAAACCAAAAAATAGCAATAGAAAATATTTGAAATTAGATTCATAATATAGACTTCACATGTTTATACATGTATTAATTAAGAACCCTACCTGGTACATTAAAATATGATATATTGACATCTGTACTGGATATTTACAACTTCAACAAATAAGCATATTAGGCATATCAAGTTTCAATCAAAAAAAAAGCTGTAGCTTTTAAATAAACAAGATTTCATATGCCCTTTAGTACACGTAATAAATAAATAAGATTTCAAATATATATATATATTCTTCTAACATTCATATAACATTTATAGCTGTTGACACTATCAAGATGTTGAAATGATAAGTTTTAAAACTAGCTTTGATTGGATCAAACGATTTTCAAGAAAAATAATTATATGATGGCACATCTGCTGCTAGATATTTTTGCCACATAAATTGTGCCTTCTTGAAACCAATCAATTAGTTCCTTATCTAAATTCAATTTCCTTCAACCTTTACTCTCTACTTGTTATCTTTTCAATTAAAGGTCAAACAGACAAATAACGTTCTTGATGCAACAAAATGAATTATTCACAAACTCTTTTCTTATTGGCGTAGTCTTATCCAGAAAAACTAATCACACATGAATTATTCATACGCTCACGTCTGTCACATTAAGTATATCCCAGAGTATATATTGGTGTTACATATTATTGTAATGATGGTCGTAGAAGAATAGACTAGGATCAAAATTATACCAAAGGCACCAAATAACACCGTTTGGATCTCAGCAAAATACGCCTACTTTCACATGTGGTTAATGATGCAAGAATCTTTTTCACTTGATCTTTATTTTGATTTAAGTTTTCTGGCAGTCAGTTGGAAACAATAACAATTTCACATGCATTCGCAAGAGGGTTACAATTGGAAATTTTAGCACAATTTTCAACTTCCTTGTCTGATCATGAAATTGAAGGAGCTATATCATTTGTAATATGAGACGACAAGTGTAAATAGTCTATTTAGAAAGTGCTCAAATATATGAACCAGATCTTTTTAGATTTGAAAAAAAAACTAGGTTCTTGAGAGTTAATGAGGACAGACGGACATGGGTTCTGACAATATAGATGACTCTATTTTGGTATCTATCTTGATATCGTTCATACGGTCCCTGATCAAAGAGTATATGATAAATTTCACCCTTTACTCTTATACCTACCAGGCACAGTGGAATATGAAAAGAGAAAATCGGCTTCGGAAGGTATTTTACGTATACAGACAGTCTGTGAGGCAGCATCTGTATAATCTTCATCTTTAGATGATGTAGTACTAGCATCAGACATATCTACTCCATAATCTAAATTAATACCTCGACATGCCTACAATACATCAATTAAATACCAGTTTAGATTAAAACTTATAAAACTGTTAAAAATACAACCATACTAAAGAATACCTAAAAAATTTTCCCTATTGCACAGAAACAATTTCCAGCTTATTTGTACCCATTTATAACTGGATTGACTGGAATAATGAGAAAAGATGACCATTTGTTTGAAGTAACCATATAAAGATTTTAATGCTCTGAGAGACAGAGCTACAGTCTCTTCGCAAAACAATAATTTCTACAGACATTTTTTTTATTTCAAAAACATGAAGGAGTTAAATTAACAGTGACAATACAATCAATACACATACTGTATTTCAGATGAAGATAAGTCTTGATCATAAATTGCTTAAAAAAGCATGTTGAAATAGCTTTTGAGCACGTCTGAAATTTGAAAGACACCTTACCTGAATAAAAAATAATTTTGGTTTGCCAATTAATGATGGGCATCTATCACCTTTTATGGGTAATACCATTAATTCTAATGGTAAAATACCATCAGTAGCATAGATTTTACCATCTTTACCATGACTTAGTATAGCACAACCAAAACAATCATTATTAGAATGATCCTGTGAAGCAACTGAAATATATAAATAGATGAAGATTTATATAGATGACATAATTCAGTTTAAGTTGTAACAAATAGTCAAATCTAGCTTGGAAAGTTTCTATTACATGTATTAATTGTCTCCATATGTACATAAATATCATTGGGAAACTAGGCTCTATATATAAGAAGTTTGTAGTAACATAGTGATGCCTAATTGTAAAATTAGAAAGTAGTAGGTAGGTGGAATTGATTGAGATGCGAATATTTCAAAGAAATTTTAAACAAAAACAACTTATTCAGGTACGGTAATCTTGTTCATGAATTTATCTATGCATTTTATATTCAATTTAATCCCAGACAGTTTTATTACAATACTTATACTCCCTGTACCAATATCATACATTCACTTAATCTGAATCAATCTGATCTCACAAGGAAAAGTTTACAGATTGTCCAAGTAAAATATATCCCTTGAACAGATGAATCGCAATAGAGTAGGCCAATGCTGTTGTCCTAGCAAAATTCTTCTCATTGTACATCTGTGACAGAAAAGTCTTAAAAAGTCATTAAAAAAATTTCATTTGATTACATTTCAAGATTACTCCAAGACAGAAATCTACCTGGCACCATACATACATGTAGTCTTATTGGAAATGAAATGAAATGAATGGAGTTTTACGACCTCCTTTTCTGCACCATGTGGGCTAATTAAGACGCCGTGCAGGGGGCAATGAGGGAAATTTTGCCAGGACAGCGGCATTAGCCTGCTCTTTTTCAATTTCCAACCGTTTGAGGGATCTTTAACGTCACAGCCTGTATCACACGGGGCATCGGTTTATTGTCCCATTCGAACGACCAGATGCTTTTTCCATGTCAGCCCCTCGTACCTGCATCACTGACAGGGGGAAACCAGGTTGAAAAATCCGAAGGTATTATCTCGACCTATGCCGGGCTTGAACCCTGGACCTTCAGGTTAGCGAGCAAGCATCTAACTCACTGAGCCACCGCGGCTCCCTATAGTCTTATTGGAGGTCCTTCAAGTAGTTGTATATTGTTTTACAATGTAACACATTATGTCTATGTAATTGTGAAAATATGATATCAATATTATCAATATGTTTCTTTGAACACAATTATTCATATTTAATTTTTGTAAATTTCAAAAAAGTTTAACTAGGAGAATTAATGACACTTAATCTGGGAATAATGGTTGAACATAGTTTAAATCTTTTAAAAACATGATACATAACCTTCCAATGTCCTTGACAATGCCAAGCTCCATTATTGGTCATATTTTTTGCTGTGTTTTAACATCAATCATGGAATGAAATGAGAAGAGTTGAAATGTAAGTGTTTGATTGTGATAAAAATCAATATTTCTAGTGAAACAAGTGTGATTAATAGGAAGGTAATGAAAGATATTATACCACCTCATTTCACAATATCAGGTGATTTCCTACTTTATCAACCTTCATTGTATTTTAGTAGTCAAGTGAACGCTTTAAACTACAGTTTAATATACCGTTATCATATTCCAATATTTTCATATAAAGGAGCCAATCCTCAAAATTACAAAGGTTGAAAATGAACATGAATCTGAAATATGCTTAAAAGGAACTTTAAAAATCATTCATTCCAAGACAGCCAGCTGGCCCAGATTTTCCTGCCAAAACAAATTAACTGTCTTTAATGTTATTGGGCTAAAAAATACCAGTGTTGTACCCAAAACCTTGTTTTATCTGTGCCTGTAAACATGGTCAAATGATAAAGTGTTTGTAAACTTTGTGTTTAAAGGGTAAAAATAATGCAATAAGCTTATTGTGTTAAGTAGTTAAGTAGTTTTCCCTCTGTCCTCCCCCACAAACAGAGGTGTAATTTGTAGATCATTAATCTGTCCCTCTTATAACTGCCTTATGTCTGTTGAACTAAAATCACTGACTGTTTTTTCAATTTTACTCTATTCTATCAAGCTGTCAGACATATTTCAGACACAGACAATTCAGTAATGTACAGTTGCCATATCCATTAATCACAATACAGTAAGAAGACGCCACTTTAATCAATTCCACAATAAAATCATTTCAAACTTGATCTCTTAATGACATCATATGATCAAATTGCCAGCCTGGTTCACAAACAAAAGATGATAATACATTACTTTCTAGATATTGTAAAGGAGAAATCTACATTGCAGGAGAACTATGCTGGACAGATCCAAAGATTCAGTAATCTGTGATGACTGCAAAAGAGCAACAAATTCATCACAATTTTGCACAATCAACAGTGGCGGAGCCAGGTTTATGTTCGAGAGGGGGCGAGGGATCTGAGATTGCCTGAATCTTTAACCGAGTTATGAAATTTTTGCCTAAAAAACTTGCTTTCAGGGCTGCGAGGGGAGGCGGCCGCCCCCTCTGCCCCCCCCCCCTTTATCTCCGCCACTGACAATCAACAGTCATTGGGAACAGTTGTTATTCCAGACCATTATAAATTTTCCCTCTCATTATTTATATCTTATAATATTATAACCTTATAAAAAGATAATCAATTACAATTACCTTATATTTTCAATACCAAATTTTATCTCTTACATTAATTATTGTTTAATCCTGATCAATCATCATGGCACAGGCAGATATTATCTGATAGATAGTTTCAGACACAGATAATGAATGACGAAACTTCAATTACACTTAGATCTCTTCAATATTCAATCTGATATGGAGTTTGACTTGTAGGTGACTGAATTGACATTTTGAATAACTGACCGTAAATAATGGTCATATTGGAATTATAAATCTGACTGTGAGTGGTGTTTAAAATCAACTAGTGTCTTGTCTAGACATGGACCTGTCTTCAACATCTGTCTGGATAAACAGCTAATACTAGAGAACAGACTACAGAACTAATTGAATAATGTCCATGAATCACGAAGTCTGAAAGAAGACTTTTCTAGACTTCAGTAGATATTTCTAAAACAGATGTCACTCTGGGGTAAATAATATTTTTTACACCATAGTGGATTACATCCAAAAACACCTGATTTGGCATGCTGTTGGTGAAATGAGAATATTGCTCACATTTCTTTTTAAAGATACATTCCATGGAAAACTGTCAGCTGTTGGTGAAAAAGATACAGAATGACTGTTCAAATCAATATTCCTTAAAGGAAAACATGTTTTAATATTGTTTCTTTTACTAAAATGTTATCTAGTTTTGTAAGAAATGCTTATTTTTACACAAATATGAAATCACAGGCTTAGGTTGTCATTTTCAGTAAATATTTAAATTAAGACCTTTGTAAGTAATATGCAATGGTCTACTCTAAAACGAAATACTATGTACAAATTATGAGTATATCAGTATAAATATGATACAAATTTGATAACAGTTAGTATCAGATCACATATTACCAATTACTCATCCTCATTTCCTGCGACCGAAATAAGACACTTATTATTGGTACCTTGCATGAATCATGGATCTTTGAAATTTTCAGAAGAAAACAAATCTATTCCATTAACTATTATTTCAAAACTTTGATGGAAAATCCCTGTCTTTGATTTTGTAAATCTCTATTAGGTTTGATTAAATACAACTATTACAACTGATGTATCAAAGTGTTACATGAAGCAATTAATTCAAAATAAAATTGACAAAAAATCCTAGAAACCTATATGATACTCTAGCATGTCAAACCTCTATTAGTTTGACAATAAATTGAGAAGACAGTAAATATTTTAACATTTAACCAAATCTCAACAGAATTCTACCATTAAAATATGTCATCAGATTAAATCTCCACTGTTTTAACTTCCTCTCAAACACATTATCTCATCTTTAGGGAATCAAATGTTACTTTATCATCTATACATTATTTTAATTGCTCCTGTTATTTTTCAATAATAGATCTTTTGTGGTAATGTACTTGATTACAGCAACAAAGTCTGTCCATTCAATACACATGTACTTAAGTATTTGTTCAACAAGTTGTCCATTGAAGTATTGTGTATATATATATATTTTTTTATTTATTTTTCATTTATTTATTTTATTGTACCCATGGGCTGAATGCTAGACAAGTCCATGTCCTTGTGTCTTGGGCCTAATTGTGACCCATATGTAAAATAAAGAGTTTATTATTATAATACGAATAAATGAAATTTTAATAAAAGTCTTAATATTTCCCCCGTTTCCAATTTTGCTTATATCTAATTACAGATGAAATGGACATTGGATTTACAATGGATACTGAAATACAATTTATAAAATGGAACAGTTTTTACCTAAGCAAATAAATATTTAGATGGCTACATCCCTTTTATTAAAAGTACTTGACTCATTTTTATCCAGCAATAAGTAATTTAGTGATAACTTTTATTACACTGACAACTTTACATTGTATACCAGAAAATACAATCTAAATTCTGTTAATAATTATTCCCTATTGTTCAATACTGGACACAATTTTCTAGATAACAATTACTTTTTATAGATAATAGGTGATAAAGTAATTGTAAAAATATTCAATTACTTCACACCATTAAAACAAGTTCCTTTGTAAGTTAATGTATGGATATCAATTCAGTACATATTTATGTGGTTATGTAATGGTACAATAAATTTGGTCAAATCTGTGTCAATCTAATATATACTAATCATGTTAGGAGAAATTGACAAATTTTTTATTAGCAACTTTGTGCTGCCAACAGTCTATCCTTTTGCTAAAACTGGTTGATGTCGCATGTTCTGGAGAGTTAACACATATAACATATTACATTATATCAAATAATGGTACTTTACATTTGAATCTCATCCTCCTAATTTTTAAAACTCAGGGCAGACATGGACCACAGCCATTTAATTCCATGTGCTAAGATGTATTTAGATATAATGAACACAACAGAAAAAATAGTTCTTAATCAAAAAATAATCTTTAGGCCAAATACACACAAAAGACTTTTGCTTTGAAACAATGTTTTCTGTGCTAACATCTGACAACTCCATCCATAGGTTTATCTGAGACACGGCTTAAAAACGAAAGATATAAATAAGTAAATAAAATAACATAATACATACTATCATACATGAGACCTGTCATCTTTGTTCTTTTAACATCATCATATCGCCGTACTTCAAATCCTAAATCCTGGAACCTTTCTTCTAATCTTTCAGCATCTAACTCAGTACCTTCTCTAGTATCCTGACCGGTACTTGAATCAAAATGTTTATTATTAATGATTATAAATATACCACGGTTTTTATAGTTAAAGTTATATTCATTAGGTTCTGATGGGGCGCCTGGTTTTACTGATTTTCTTTCTCCACTGAAAAATACAGAAAATAAAATATTAGAAAATTATTCTTAACAAAAATACAGAATAAATACACTATTCTGATTACTTGAGAGAGTTATAGTCAAGACAATACTAAATGCCAAAAAGACTTACAATTAGGGCTCTCAAAATATTGTAATGGATTCTAAAAACTATTCTAAATGGATACTTTTGATGATGTTATTGCTTTAAGTGCTGATGATAATGCTGATTGATGATGATGATGATGATGACTCTGTTGATACTGCTGTGGGCCAGCAACCATCTTAAATCAATATTGAAAAACAAGATTCTACTTTACACTTTTGTAGTCATTTTTTCAGACCTAATGGAGCTAACAAGGACTTCAATCAGTCAAACCTCATGGTATTTATGTCAGTTATATTATTTGTTGGCAGTCAAAAGAGAAATGGTCAATTAAACGAAAAAAATAATTCTTGCAATAACATAGTCTGTGAAAACACCAAGACCTAATGATATCTAATTCAAGTTTTGGAATAAACAGTATTGACTCCGGTTTTGCACATATTACTTTTAAACGAGATTTGTGCATTGCCGTTTCAACATTAATCTTTTTTTTAATAAATCTTTATTAACAGTACATTAAACATGCGATCCACATAACTTAATATTCTCCTGAATTTTAGACGCATTTACCGAGAGGATAGAACCTTGAATAAACATAGCACCAGACAGAATATATCCCACAAATCTCTAATACTTCTGCTTCAACAAAGTTCCTATTTAAAAGTAAAGATTTTGACTTTCTTACCTAATACTACTCATATTTCTTCTCAGACACAAATTCACACTCTGGGGAAGGAAATAGAAGTCAACAGTTCTTATACCATGAGCAAGACTGAAGAGAAACTTGAAGAGATTTCCAATAAAGAAGGGAGAAAAAGTAGCCAATTCAATCAGTGAGTGCAACCAATAAATAAATAAGTATGAAGTATAGAAATTGAATTTCAATCAATTTTACAGACAGCTAGATGAAAATATAAGCTTATGACCCTGCTGTTTTACAGATTTTTCTAACTGAATGGATGATTAAATCAGTTAGAAAACAACATCAAATGATTAGTAGTTGACCTTAAACACCATGTATATCAATTGGGCATTTAGAATTCACATCAAGAGGTCAGCAATTACCGGTATTGACGCTGGACAGTGCCAGAGAATGTAATTTACACATTAATCTGTTTTCACTAAAACCCTGTGAATAATTCATACAAAGTAAACTTTATACCAATAAATTGTCACCAATGGATCAAGAATGGAGGTTTGATAGCTCTACAAAGTTGCTTCGTTAATTCAATAAAACGTGGGTCTTGCCTTGACCAAGTTGTCAAGTTGAATGGATCCTCGAGAGCCTAAGTGCTTATCATTTTTGAAAAACATGTTAGCTTCCTTTCCAACACTATTATTCAAAGTATTAAATGAAGAACTTGCTTTCAGCATTTTACATTGTTTACTGAAACCTATCATTATATCAAAAAATAAGTAAATGAGACCATTCTGTGTTGAAATTGTTGGAATCCCTGCTGAATGCCTGGAGCTTTTGAGGAGATGAGAAATTTGTAATGAATTAAAAAATTAATTATTCATACTGTTATATTTATCTCTTATTTTAACTTAAAGGGACATTCCGCTTTTTTAGTAGGTGGAAACATTTCTTTTTGCTCAAATTTGTGGAAACTAAACACCAAAATCTAGAGAAATATGCCCTTTTACATATCTGAAAGTATCGTAAGGTTTTTAAGGTTGTTGTGCTTTTTGAAAGTTTTAAGAAAACTACTGCACTAATTTTAGTAAAATAAACGCTCAATTGTAGAGAAATATGTCTTAACTATATTCTAAAGGTTTCAACTAATAATATCGAGCCATTATAAACACCAAAACTAGGTCAAACTGCTTAATTAACAGTTTGTACTCTCCATTTTCAGTTTGATCAAGAAGATACATAGATATAAATAGCATACTTTTTTCAGGTATAATTTACGATATTAATTTTTGATAATGAAAACTTTTCACAAAAAAGCAGAATACCCCTTTAAATAATATCAGGTATATGTTCAACCCTGCTAAGTGTAAAACAAGTGTATTCTTAATAGGTTTCATACACAATATCTGAATTTTTTAATATACAGATACAGATACATAAGCACTTCATACGAAACACAAAACTGATTTATTCAGATGGAGAATAAAAAGAACTCTTATGTGCTAAAGACATCAACATGACCCTTGAAAATCGAAGATGTTGCCCCTCTTCATGTGCACAAAATCACGATCTAAAACTTCATTTCATTATCATTACATATCTCTATATCAGTGTCCTTAGATACCTGATAATAATTTTGTTACATCTCTTATATAATTAATAAGCTAATCTGATTACTTGAACTAAAAGGACTTGATGCATAATAAATGAATAGGACCTAATGTTTACTGGTATTACAACACAAACTGACTTTTTCAAGATGTAAAAATTGCAGAAATCCTTCATTTAGATGAGACGCTCAGTGGCATAGCCAGAATTTCATTGACGGAGCAATTCAAGCACCTCTGCTCACTTTTTGGGTTTTAGTTGGTGTGAGGGGTGAGGGGTCTCCCCCTAGAAAATTTTCAAATCTAGGAAGGCTTAGAATGTATTTAAGATGATATTGGCGGTAACAGTAAAATACAAATTTTTTCCCCCCTCCCTGCAATTAGGTTCTTAAATAACCAGATATAATGCGGAAATCAATTATTTCTTACTACAGTACAATCAAAATATCATCATTTATTTAATAGAGCAAAGAAATTTTAGAGAAATAATTAGCCCAATCAATGTCTATAAATAGATTACCTAATCATTTCTCTACTTTCATTTTATCAATAATATCAATCATTCTTTAATTACAAGTATTCTTTGTCATTAAATACTTCAATATCCAATGTCACTCATAAGACGCTCAAAATTTCATTTTAGCTTTTTCTTTGAGTTACTTCAGTTTGGATTAGATCAAGTCCTCCTACATTGAAGTTTTCTTGTCCTGTCTTGCTTGATATAAAACTTTCAGAAAGAAATACTAATTAGATGGTTTATATTACAATGCTATTTCCATCTAACCATAGAGACTAAAACTAATTGATCAGAAATAAAATGAAATTCAAAACCAACAAAAGGTTAATTGATTAGATTTCAAAATCTGTCAGAACTTATACCTAAATCAGATTTTAACCTGCGATAAATTCACAAAAAGGGGAAGGTGCAAAAACCCCAGTCTCAGTTAGGGAGGCAAAAGATTGGGCTTATCAGTCAAATCAGCGCTTTGAGAATACCTACAAAATCAAAAATTAGCAGATGGCAAAAAAGAAGTAAAAGAAGATAAGAGTACGCGTAAAAACATGATTTCCTTCGAACAGAAATATTACGTGCAGGTTGAAACGATGTTAATTTTTCAGACTGTCAGGACTGCGTGCTAGGAACATGAATTATGTGAGTTTGTCAACAATAATCATTATGTTATCAATAAGCTTTTACCCTGTACCAATATACATGATGATAGAAAACATGGCTGATTGTTTCATGTCTTACGGTTCAATTCTTAAAGATTTTATCTAGATCAATAGTAATCTAGACACAGTAATATTTTATATTTTATTATCCTTAACACAATTACTTAATATCTTTATTATACAGTTTATAGAATAAAATCACCCTGCAATTACTAAAATCATCAATCAACAATACAAAATGGGTTTACAAGTCATGAAAACAAGTTATACCATATATATTTTGAATATGTACATCATTCAGTGTTACAATTCCATTCCTTGCTTTGACTTACTAAGTACCATAATAGGTTTCTCCATTCATTCCTTTGCAACATCCATGTAGCTAAAACATCTTCCCATAACTTTACATGTCATTTGTTTTATTACATTTCTGTTTGAAATATCTTCTCTCTTTATTTCACTTATCTTTTACATGTGATTTATAGACTTTTTTTTTCACTTGTGCATCAAAATTTATTGCTTTGGCTATTACCTGTCAACTGCAAATTGAATTTTCCACATAATTGAAGCTCTGTTACTTTTCTACTTAAATCTGCAGTTCATGTTTGAAATTCTATTTGCCAAATTTAACAAAATTATATCAAGATATTTCAAAATTATTCTATCTGGAACAAATTTTAAAAAGAAGATAGTAACAAATAAAAAAGCTTAACATAAACAAAAAATTATATGTTTGTAAAATTTTACTTCAATAGAACCTTACAAAATCAATACTGTCAATTGTTTACAGCAATACAAGTTATGGTGACATTCCATATGAAAGCTGAGTTCAGACGCATGTTCTCTTATATATCTTATCATTAATGGCATCCTAGATTTGTATCAAATTGGCCATTACAACATTCAGCCTGTCTAGATAGCGATGAATTGACAGAACAATTCAAAAAAGATAAGAGAGGTGATTGGAATGTTTCAGCATAACACAGGTAGGCTGGAGAAAAAGGGTTTGCATGAAGCTCTCTCCTCATGAACTTATGTTAATCTAGAACTAGTAGTATATTGTCCATATCCTTAGGTGGAACATGACATGACCCATGACATTACATTTTTCTCTTCAATTCTGTTTCTGAAAATTACATATACATTCAACATCATGGAACAGTTACAAATAAACAGCTGGAACGTTTTAGATGAATCAAAATGTAAGATACAATGCCCAAGCTTACAATAACTGTGATTGAGTTTCAATGATAGCTGTATCATACATGATTGCAGAATTTTTGCTCGAAAAAGAATATATACTTCAAACATTTGCTATTATGTAGAAAGAATTTTTGTTCTATTTTAGGATTGACCAAGGGAATTGTTTTTTGTATGTAATTCTAATCAATTATGTGTTTTGCCAATTCACTTTCTTGAATTTTTATGTTAAATT